AGTAAAAAATAAATAAATTATATAATATTATTATTTTATTTTATTTTTTAATTTGAAATAAAATAATCTCATTAATTAATAATTTATAAAATGAATTAGATTATATTTTTAAAAGTCGTCTAATATATAGAATTGGAGGGAGTAGATTTCAAGGTGGCCAATTGTTTGGGCCTAAACTCCCATACACCAAGCCCTTCGATTTACCATTTCTAAGTTTCTCACGGTCACTCTGGCCTCTGGGAGGATAAAAATAAATTTAAAACCTTCAGTATCTGAACAGTTTCAAAACCTATATATCTATATAGATAGGTTTTGAAGCTGATCAAAACAGGTTTTGGTCATCATGCTGAAACGAATCAAGATTGAAAATGTAGCAGATCGACTTAGAGCCGTGCGAGAGATTAGTTTCAGTAGAGGACAAAAGATGAGCTGAGTTTAAAAGATAAGGAACCAAATTGACAAAACGTGGATGCCTTGATGAACCCCACGTTTATCCCTTTTTTAAGTGAAACATCACTTCATTTCTCTCCATATATGATTTACATGTGTTCTCTCCTTTAGCCTTCAAGTCTTATGCGTCATGTACCATCCCATCATCTTTAGTTCTTTACACACTCTCTTTTATAAATGACTCGAATACTCACTCCATCACAATCATACATCATATATTTGGGACATTTTTGCCCGCACACCCATATATCCTTCAATTTTTGTGCCGAACGTGTGATAAGTATTTTTTATCTGCACATGAAACTAATAATATTTAGGGAGAATCGTATTTAAGGCTCATCAAGCAACAAAATTGCATATAAAGCCCAATACAAATGATTAACTCTGCAGGGTTGAAAGGAACTGAAAAAAATTTTGAACTTTAAATGACAAAAAGTACCTTTAATGAGTTGGAAGAAAATACAACGCTAAAATGGATATTGACAAATGACTGTTCACATGTTGACAAGTAAAAAGTTTATATATCAACAAATAATATGTATTTGTTCTTTAAAATTAGGCTTTAAAATCTGAAAACTAACCTTGCAGAGAATATTCAAACTATATTGAGCCTTGTCTGTGATATTGTTGCTTAAGTGGGCCGTGGATGCTATTCTTCCTAATATTCATGTATTTGTTTAATTCATGGATAATTTCACGGCATCAATCTTTTAGAAGCATGATTTGAATTTTCATGGACCACGTTTCCGATTTCTGGAGGGCACAGAATCTGTACAACTGATGCCTCCAAAGCAAGCTCTGATACATTATAATTCATGAAGGGATATAGACGCAATGCCTCCACACACACAGGTACTTGCTTTAAAGCAAGCCTGTGTTCGCAAGTATAGGTCATGCCACTAGCTTCTTGACCGTATCCTAGGAGAGAAAGTACTCAAAGATATGGTGGGAAACATCAAAATTGTGAATCCACCAACGAAAATCGAGTAAGAGAGAAAAGAAGGAGATTCCGATTGTCTATGTATAATTATCCTTCGATCTCAGCTGCCAATATATGGCATTATAGCTGCAGGTGGATTCCCGTACCTTGTACATTTATATAATTTACTTGCTTCGTGTTCTCGGCAGCTTCTTTCAAGTCTAAACCGAATCCGACCAAATCATGACATAGACATAGTTTGGTTGTTAGAAAGGATAAAAATTAAATATATATATTAAAGAAATAAAATAAAAAAATAAATTATCTACCTCAATATGATAAACTAATTGCACATTTATCTTGGTATTATTCTTTTCATAGAAAATATATAGAAAAACTCAACACTAAAAATGTGGGAAATCACCATACTCTTCATATACTTCATTAATCATCATGACTATTGAGGTTATGAATCAAATTACCCTTCACCTCTTAAATATGATAGACCTATCATTCATTTACATTTTTATCATTTTTTATTTTTATTTCTTTAATATATCATATTCTCACCACTTTCAATGACTAAACAGTGTCATAGTACCTAGCAATCACTGGGAGGGGATTGAAGACAAAGGTCAGGAGATATGACATGGTGAACTTGTGATGCAGGGGAAGTAATACAATATAAGAAAATACATGGCATTTAGAGCTGTCAATTAAGATCGAGCCCGTCGGGTCACCTTTTAAAACCTAAAAATAATTACGGTTGAGCCGCTATTTTTAAAAAAAATAATAATTTGGGCTTAAAAGGACCAGCTCTTTTTAGCCCTTTTATTATTATTTTTTTAAATTATAATATAAAAAAAATAAAAGATTAAATATATAACTCAAAGAAATGAACATATTAAATGCATTTATTCATTTCTCATTTATTTATTAAGATTTAGCTGATAATATTAGTTAAATCTAATTTTTATTAGTATTAACTTTGATGTTGCTATTTGATATTAGACCTAAATATTTAAATTTTCTTTATTGTTGTGGTGTAAATTGATTTAAAATTTATTTTCTTAAACTTAATTTTATGTATAATAACTTTTTTATGATTATAAATATATTTTTTTATAATTTTAAATTAAAAAAATTAAAAAAAATAGAGTCGAGGCCCTAGGAGCTAAGGTTGGACCTTATAAAAGAAAATCTTGACATATAATTGAGTTTATTAGGACCAGCCTATTCAGGCTCTAATCTTTTAAAGCTAAACTGGCTCTAATTGACAGTTCTTGATCCCTAATATTACAACAACAGCCTAATGAGCCTCATGGCTTATTGTCAAATGTGAAACATTTGAAAGCTCTTTGACTTTAACAAAAAAAAAAAAAAAAGAACAACAGCAACAACTCCAGAATGAGTGCGTAAATAATTTTGTTGTATATCCTAGCAAATCAAGGAGTAATTTGTACATATCAGATTTTTATAGCGATCCACGTTACGTATGCATGTTTTTTTTTGTGGCCAAAGTTACGTATACATGTTGAATAAAGCATTTTCTAACGTTTCATGCAATTTTTTTTAATCCTTTTACTAGTTATCTACATATTTTATTGAATAAATTAGCAAAAAAAATTAATTCCTTCAAGTTTTAACACATTTTAAAAGGATTTAAATATTAGAAACTAGCTAGGAACAATATTTCCAAAATTTTTGAAGCTATTATTTAATATTCTACAGTTGTTAAAAGTTAGGGTATGTGTAGACTGAGTGAGAAGTTAAATAAAATGGATAGCCCGGCTCACCAACATAATTAAATCCAATTAACTAGAGACGAGTAGAATGGTCATAATTTATGGCTACTTGTAAACTTTAAACGTTGCTATGTAGATATGGGAATTCATGAAGGGGAAACTTTGTGCAATAAAATTTAGAAGAGTAGCCCATGATTTGCATCGTTAGGGACCAATTATAATTTAGGCAATATGACATGTATTTTGAATTTTAGATTTATGGGTGAGATGATAATGATCCCAAAAATTGTATTCTTTTTCTTAAAAAGAAATTAACTGTATTCTTTATTGTCTCCATTTATTAAGATGACAAAATATAAAACAAGTCTATTTAAGAATTTAGCCCCAAAAAAAAGAAGGATTCTGATTGGGTTTTAGCTTTTAGGCCTTTTGCCTTTCAGATCTAGACCAACTCTAGTTTTGGATTGGGTTGGGCTTAGGTTCTATAAAGAATATACACTTTTTTTTTTCTTTTTCCTTTTTTGCAAAAATAAGACCTATTAATGAATTTTACAACTTATAAGTCTAATAACCAAGCTGATACATTCAGATTGTGACGTCTCAAAGGAGTAGGTCAATAAATTGGGTCAATTTTCTTTTAATTTCATAAAAAACATCTCTGAAGAATATGTTTGAGAATATTACTTTTTCATAATCAAAACAAAGTTTTTTCAGCATTAAAGTTCTATATATTAATATTATTACACATGTATTTAATATTTAATTTATTTTAAAATTTACTTATGATATTTCATATTTAATATTGTATCATTTTAATTAATAAATATCTATCATGAGAATAATTTTAAATTTAATCCTCAAAGATCAGTCTTCGCCCCTATTATTGTGTTGTATGTAAAGGCATAGTCTTCTCCATTTTTTTCACTTGTTTATGATTTGATTTTGCACTAAAATATAAATAATGCAAACATTTTTTAAAATAACACGATATGTAAAACGTGTTACTTCCTTCATTTTTAAAAATAGGAGAATTTTAACCAACTCATACTCCCTCTATTAAAAAATATAAGACATTTTTTTAAGAATTAAATGTTTAAAAATATTAAACATTTTTTATATGTTAAAGTGTAATTAATGTATTTTCTTTTTAAAAATGCTCATAATATTTATATTTACTTTTAAGTGAAACTCCCCATCTATATGAATATGAGAAAATGTTGTTAGTTGGAAAATAACTATCTACTTCAATGAAGATAATATTCAATTAAAAATACTTTATATTTTTTTACATAGGAATTATAATTTTAAGAAAATTAGTTAATCTTAATAACTATATTTGACAGTGAAATGTTTTGACTAAAATGCCCATGTAATTAATGTTTTTTTGTTTTTTCTTCCCTCTAATTTATATTTTTCCACTAATTTAATAAAAAACGTAATTAATGCTTTTTGAAATTTGTAGTTTTATTTATAATAAAAAATAAAGAAACATAAGATAGTTTTTTTTACATTTAAAAATGGAGGGAGTATCATTCATGTGTGCAAGAGGAACAGCCGCATTAGTTGATCGTAATATTTAAATATAATTAAATATTAATTAATTGGGGTTTACTAATATTCAAGAAGATTTTGTTTGTATTTAGGCCTTGAACCTTGTCGACAAAATGATAGGTTAAGCCACGCCAAAAAAAATTTGATAGGTTCAATGTCTGAAAGTAGCCCATTAAAATACAAGGCCCATAAGAAACCTAACAAATGAAGCCGTTTAAGATATCAAAAAAATCTCGCCGTCTAATTTATCTGGACAGTTTAATCTTAGCCGTCAAATTTAGGTTTCGAAAGAAACCCTAGTTTGCCGCTATAAGAGTCCTCGCTCACATTTCTACGGTTACTGCAAGCTGCTACTATTCTCCTCTTTCGCTTTCTCTTCAAACTCGAACTGGGGTTAAAGAGACGGCGCTGTTCCGCTGTCCGCCTTGACCAAGCCTTGCTTCGTCTTGGCCCTCGATTTTGCTTCAATCCCATTAACCTTTGCTTTTATCTTTCTTGTATCTAAAATCCGAAATCCAGGCATCATCAATGGCGGTGAAACCCACTAAAGCCGAGAAGAAGATCGCTTACGATGCCAAATTGTGCCAGCTTTTGGAGGAGTATACCCAGATTCTCGTGGTGGCGGCCGACAACGTCGGATCCAACCAACTTCAGAACATCAGGAGGGGTCTGCGTGGTGACTCGGTGGTGCTCATGGGCAAGAACACAATGATGAAAGCGCTCTGTCAGGATTCACGCTGAGAAGACCGGGAACAATGCCTTCCTCAACCTTATCCCTCTACTCCAGGTGAGTGATCTATTCGTGGTTCTTTTACGAGATTCACAATGGGATTAAATTCGTCGTTTCCTTTAGACTGAGTTGTGTTTATGGATTAAGTGAACTTTTCTTTGAATCGAAAGAGTATGAGCATATGATTCCCGTTTAACATATGATTCTCCTATATTAACGGGCACCTCGTGTTTCGTCCATTGACTTAGGGCAACGTGGGGCTCATTTTCACCAAAGGAGATCTGAAGGAGGTTAGCGAGGAGGTTGCCAAGTACAAGGTGAAGTAGCAATACATTTTTTCTGTGGTCATATTATTTATGTAATAGTGAGGCTAAATTATTCTGGTGGCCCTAGTTAGCTTCGATGTTTGGTATGCCCTTGATAATTATCTGCAATATTATGGCCATGTTATTTAACTAAAACCTTTTCAACTGTGATGCTTTAATTATCATTGATTTGCTGCGTACTAAAAAACAGCATTCAGGAATGTTCACATGATATTAACAAACAAGCTCTTGTTAATTGTGATACGGCTTATAATTGTACCTTTTTATTTGACAGATTCAATTACTGGTAGTTTTCTCCTTCAATCTTAGGAAAAATGTTTTCCAAGTGTTGTCCTTGTTTGATGCTTCATGTAGTCATGATTGTTAGCGATCTACTGCCCAATTTTAGATTGTACTTGATGAACTTATTTGTAGAATTAAGTTTGAATATGCTGATTTTATCCGCCTAAATGTTAAAGTCCTTAAAAATATGTTGTACTTAGGCCATTCTGTTTTTTTGTTTTCGTCCATTGACAAGTATGTCTTTATATGAACAGGTTGGAGCTCCTGCCCGTGTTGGTTTGGTTGCTCCAATTGATGTCGTCGTTCCTCCTGGCAACACAGGGCTTGACCCCTCTCAGACATCTTTCTTCCAGGTTAGCAATCTTGAGTTGGAACAGCTCAAGTTTCATTCTTGAGAACACTGAGTTTTATACTCTCCACTTTTTCAGGTGCTCAACATCCCCACCAAGATTAACAAGGGTACTGTGGAAATTATCACCCCAGTGGAACTTATTAAGAAGGGTGACAAGGTGGGCTCCTCAGAAGCTGCCCTACTTGCAAAACTCGGGATTAGGCCCTTCTCATATGGGCTTGTGGTCCTATCTGTGTATGACAATGGTTCGGTCTTCAGCCCTGAGGTTCTTGATCTTACTGAGGATGACCTTGTTGTGAAATTTGCCACCGGTGTCTCCATGGTGACATCACTTTCTTTGGCCATCTCATACCCAACAATTGCAGCTGCACCGCATATGTTCATCAATGCCTACAAAAACGTGTTGGCTGTTTCAGTGGAAACTAGCTACTCTTACCCTCAGGCGGAGAAGGTTAAGGAGTACCTAGAGGTATTGTCATCAATATTTTATTTGCCGTGGCCCTCAATTTTTTTTTTATTCTGTAGTCCTTTGAACTTCGAGTTTCTGATTCTTGTAATGTTTTAACTACAGGATCCCAGCAAGTTTGCTGTTGCTGCTATTGCAGCTGCTCCTGTTGCAGATTCGGGTGCTGCTCCGGCTGCTGCTGCAGAGGAGAAGAAGGAGGAGCCAGCTGAAGAATCCGATGATGACATGGGTTTCAGCCTGTTTGATTAATTGTGGGTCATTTAAAAGTTAGACATTATGGTTCTTTTGACATGTCTGAGTTGTTGGAGTAGGTTATTTTCTGTTTATTCAAGATATTTAGTACTTTTTATTCGTCCAGGCTTTATGTTATTGGCCATATGTGCAGTGAGACTTAGGTTGTGTAATATTTGGGGTTTCAAGTTGCTATTTATCCTTTTGTTTTACTTAGTTTATGCCTGGTGGATATTTTTAAGTTTGAGGACTTGCATGTGTTGGTTATTTGGTTACTGTTTGAACCAGTTGCTACTGAGATGGGCTAGTATCTTCCCCTCCCAACGTAAGTGGCAACTGGTAAGAGAGTCAAGTCTGTGTTCCTATGCCACACTTGTTCTTTCACCCCTAATCTTCCCCATCATCGAATAAATAAAGAGTATAACCTCTTGGAGCTTATATTCGAATGTTGCTTTTGTTTCTCATTCTGTCATTCATCATTTTACAGAGAAATTTTAGTTGGGTTAAAGTATATTTACTTTTTTAACTTTTACACATTTTATTTTAGTCACTCAATTGTAATAAAATATTGTTATTCTTTTAATCTTAATGCTATTAGTTTTATCATAACAAATTTTTATATTAAATTTTAAATGTTGATAAAACTTAATTAAATGTGAACATATTAAATTTAATTTTGTTAAAAAAATGATGATGATCGACGTAAAAATTAGTCATTTGATATTAGAGTTAAAGAGTTAAAAAATATTTTATAAAAGTAAAAATTAAATTAAAATTTCATGCAAAGTGGGGATTAAAATTATATTTTAACCTTGTAGATGTCTATAAAAATAATCTTTTAAAATGAAGTTTTCTTATTTGTATTTTTGTCATCCATTCTCCCAGCTTGCTTAAAACTGGGATAACTGGGATGTTTATCTGAAGATTGCCATCTTTTTTATTTCGATGTTGTCTTTCGATGGATGTTGGATATGTAATTCTGGGTTTTCAGAAATGCAATGATCAATAGTAGTACTGAATCATGTTTATTAGGAAGCCGAGTCAGTGGAATTAGCCGGCTAGGCACCATAATATTAAAGGATGCTTTTGTACTTCTTGTGGTCGTGCATTTTCATCTTCGGACGCTGCAAAAAAGCCAGATCGATACTAATTTTCAGCATGCTTTGAGAGTAGTGCAGGAATGAATTAATTCTGTTTACTTGTATAACAAAAAATAACGGCTATCTGGTTTGATTATGTATTTATATCGTCATTTAAGGGAAATGACGTCAGTTTGGATTTTCAATCCAATGAATAATGTGTTGCAATGTTTAAGTGATAAATCAATATGAAAGTTAAAATCGCATGCTGCGTTGAACTAGCTTTCTGGACATGATTGAGTTGCTGACACCATTGATTTTAGAAACCCTGAATTACATTGAAAGACAACTTGGAAATAATACCGTGGGCAATCTTAAGCTGAATCAAAAATCATTTTGTTGTACTTGGTTTAGGCCTCATATTTTCATTTTTCATGGGAAAATTGGTCCGGAGGACCAAGAGGTAAATTTATTTTTAAAAAAAAGCTTAAGATCCTTCAAATGAATTAAGATTATAAATCTACAATCTTAATTTATTTTAACGCCTGTTTGGTTGGGGGTAGGGGAGGACTCCAAAACCTCCCCCCAAAATTGGGGGGCATCCCCTCTCCCCTCCCTTCGAATAAGACATTTGAAGATTTCTGACCTTTTTTCCCAAATTTCTATGCCTCATGGTCTTTCTTATGAATTTTCCCCATGTCTATACTTGGAGACCATTCATGCGTTGACTATTTGTATTAGTGCCTAATACCCATTATCCTTTATCACTGGTGACGAGGCTACCATTTTCGTAGAGAGGGTGAGTTTGTAATCTTGAGTCCTGACAATCTTTGTCGCACGTGGCAGCATACGTGTTGGGTCTGAAAGTTTCTGAGAGACCCAAGAGTATGATGGATGCAACTCTAATTCGTAGCTTACACTGAATATACATATACATACTGAAGAAACAGAATGCAGGCTGGATATTACAAAGACTTTAAAGATCAAAAGGAAAGCAAGCCTTGATAATCACCTAAGTTTATCTAAAAACTCCACTGATTCCAAATGATGTGTGCCCCGATTAACTGTGCATGCGGCGGAGATAAGTATTAAATAAAACAAAACAGAGAATAAAAAAAATTCGGAATAAATGGATCCTTGTTGGATTAGTCAAGGTGATTAATATTAATCACCTAATTAGTTGGTAACTCTAAAATTGATACAAAGAATATTAAGATGCATTAGAGGTAGAGAGTAGAGAGTAATGTTTTAAGACTCAGACTAACCCGAACGTCAGACTAGTTGAACCGTCACCCGAAAAAAGAAATGGTTTGGTTCAATCATTTGGCCCATTCTGACAGTTGACTCAAGTTGGCTTGCTTTGACCTGAGTAGTTCTTGAAGACCCAGAGCAAAAACCCGGAATCCGAAGTGGTCAAATCATTTTGACCCATTTTTTTCAATATATATGTATATAAATATTATTTTTTATTTAATTATTATATCACCAGTTTAACCACCAGTTGAATTAAGAAACTCGTGACCCACTGATATTTTCGGTTCATTATCCTGTTCGTTTTTAAAACATTGCTAAAGAGATTGAGTGTTACCTATAAAAAGAGATTAACATAAGTCCTCATCTCATGATTCTCCAAACCAACAATTTTGGATTGTTACTTTCGGCCTTGAAGGGTTGATGTTTTGTTATAATATCATTGATGGCTTGATAGCATTCATATTTTGCTTCATTTTAAATCACTTAACTCATCAACTATCAAATATGTTCCGAGACGGCTAGTTTTGATGAAAGCTATGCTTGGTATCCCCCCCTCCCCCAGTTGCACAGCTACAACAACATGGTATCTGCCCCTTTTTCCTTCCACTATTGTGGGATTGACGGGTCGTTTTTTCTTTATTGAGTAATTAATGGCATTAATTTTATATTTTTAACTATTATTTCTTTTATACACGGATCATTAATATTCTTACTATTTTATTAGTGAAATCCCATGCATGTGTGCAGGAATGACAAAGATACTGATATGTTCATGATTTTTGTTGAATGTTGAGGAGTTAATGAATTATTCTGCGGTCAATGTAATATTTGATTTAGTGATAGCTGATAGCGAGTTGGAGCAAGGGACGGCTAACAAAATGAGTGGCGCGTTTAAAAAGAAATGACAAAAGTGGGATGTGTTTGAATAAAACAAGAGATGGGCCTCTAAGTGCTAATCCCTTTCATTCCTTTTTCGATGCTCTTTTTATCTCAGCAGCCACCCCCAACCCACTTTCAAAGCCGAGTCGACTTGTAGATAATATACCACGCCCAACCCAGTTCAATGCAACTAACAAAATGATGACCTAGGTTTCGATTTAATCTTGGCGTGATCAAAATGAAATCTCTCTAAATTCATATCAACACAGAATATGAAATTTATACAAGAGTTAGGCTATTCACAAGTCGTAAATATTATGTTCTCGGTGAACTGGCTTGAGGAACTATTTTTTGCTGAGAATTTCAACATTAGAAAAATACTCTTCCCGTGCTTCTCATGTGACACTTTTAATCGCTTCATGTATATTATAAAAATTAATTTTTTTTTGATAAAAAAAATTGAGACATACTTTTATTTTTACCTTTAATTTTAAATAATGATATAACTATATTAAATACTTTCACATTAATTAAAAAATGATAAAATTGAAAAAATGACTTAATTATTGGAATGTGCTCTATATTTTAAATCAAAAATTACTTTTAAAAGATATCTTATAAATAGAATCAGAGAGACTAAGTAATATGATCTTAAGAGCTTTCTTGTACATGCAAAACCTAAAAAACTACTCCAATGTGGTTACTTTAAAACAACTTATAGTCTTTTCTATAAGTCATTTTGTATTGAAAAATGAACCATTAATTACTCTTTCTAATTTTTCTCTTTAAAGTTCTATATAAGGGGAGTAAAACATTACATGTGAGAGAAAAAATATTTTTAAATACAATGCATTTAAAAAGGATAAATAGGGGAATTCTTTTTTAGACCATATCAATAATTTAACTATCTTTTTATATTTTTGGTGAGACACTCTCCTTGGTTCAAAATATAAGCATTTTTTTCAATTAATCTTAATCCAAAATATAAGCAATTTAGTATTTGATTTTTTTTTTCATTTTACTTCTTATATTTATTAACCTAGATTCTTGTGGTTGTGAATTTATAATCTTTTTTTTTCACTCATCATAGATTTAAACTAAGGATAAAGAGGAAAAACAATGATCCCTCTATATCAAATTAAAAGACAATTTGAGACAAGAATATGTACACAATTAAAGTACAATAATGACACTTTATAAATTACTTTTTTTCAAAATAAAACTATAAACTCTAAAAATGTTCTTATACACTTTATCATTACATTATAATATTATTTAAATTTTCTTTTCACTTGAAGGGTAATATGAAAATAATTATTAATTAAACCTTATTTTTTAAATTGTTTCATATACTAGGATAAAAAATTTTCACAATTATCTTATAATTTGAGATTGAAGGGAGTATATATTTTTATAAAAATAAATTTTTTATCAATATATACAATATTGTTAAAACTGCATATATATTTTGAATTGAAGGAGCAGCTGGTGCAGACTGGCGGATATAAGAATTTATGGCGTGAAAGGAAGAGGAAGAGCATCATAAATGGGTGATGATGACGACAACGACTTGAAGGGATTGTATCATTGGCTCCGCCTAGTCCGGCACTTCCCTACCAACCTTTCTTCTTTGCTGCATTTGCCTTCCCCACAATTTTCCCAAACCATCATTTCCTTTTTTCACCTACTATTTCTTCTTAACTTCGATGCAATTTTTTAAAAATCAAATTGAATAATGAACTAAAAACAATTAATAAATTAAAAATTTTATAGTTAAACTAATAATATAATAATTAAATTAAAAATAATATATATATATATATATATTAAAAATACGAGTCAAAATGATTTAATTATTTTAATTCTTGAGTCTTCAAAAATTATTTGGGTCAAAGTAAAATAACTTGTATTAACTTTCAAAGCGGGTCAAATAGTTGAATAAATTATTATTTTTTTGGGTGATGGTTTCACTGGTTTGACAATCTGTGCCAATTTGCGTCTTAA